TATTTTCTAAAGAGTAACTAAAATAAAAAATTTTCTTTGTTGATCAAAGTAGGAATTGACTTAAAAATTCTTTATTATGTTACTTGTTTCAATTCCTTTCTCAGACAACATTCGAGAGGGAAAAAGGAGAGAGAAGTATATGGATAAAATTCGAATCTACGGCGTAAGCAAGAGATATAATTACATTTCATCTTATAAAAGCTGACAATGTTTTAACCTGAGATACGTCGAATTTGGATTTAGGTTTGCTCATTAATTCTTGAACCAATTTAGTCTCGACTTGCATTTAATTCTTTTCCTCGTATTTAATTTAGTTATTCGTTTCCTCGAGTCGTGAATTAATTTTCTTACATTTTTATTACAGGCTGAGAATTTGTAATATAGTTTGCATAAACAAAAAGGGATTTGTTGTCCTTTAGGGATAAAGTAGGGATTATACTCATTAGATGAAATGAACTTAAATCCATGAAGTACAAAAGATTTATTTTTTTATAAAGTTACATCCTTTTGAATCTCGTTTGCTTTAGAAGTTGTCGGACTTTAATCAACGCCCTATAACTGCCGCTTTAACTAGAATGATTATAGAAACAAGGAAAAATTTTAAAAAAATACTCAAATTTAACTCAGAATGCAAAGAAAAAAGTGGTAATTGTGCTTTGTACTTAGTTAGAACTTATCAAAAACTTTTTTCACATTTTAAAAAAGTAAATTTGTGACGGGGCATTACGTGAATTTCAATTAATCCTTTAGGGGAATCTTTGGGCCAGCAATCGAGTTATTTCACAGCCATCCCTCTCAAGAAGAAACCATGATATGCAGATTAGCTAGTATATATATAGTGGAAGTTTAATAATCGTAAAGAGAAGGAAAAGGAGCTGAGTCGCTGAAAGTGGTGCTGTTACGGTAAGGATCTGAATATCGATGCGTGATTATAGAACGGACTTTAACTATTAGAATAAATTAAAGAAGTTAGGATTCTTAAGATGACATTGACAGCAACAGCAAAAACTTTTGACCGACTTGTGGCTGTGATTAACAGAACAGCTTAAAAAAATTTTTTTAACTATGTAAAATTTTGAAAATAATTTTCACCTAGCAATCAAAATAAAAGTTAAGTAAAAAATATTTAAATGAAATTCTCTCTCATCACTTTTATATCTATTATAATTGTCTTATAACAGAATTTATTAGTCAAAAATAAATATGATTTATTATTATGTAACAGTTTTCTTTTCATGGAGATTCACAGAGTTAGGTAACATTTTCTCAAGCCCCGACTCACACAAACTTACGTTGATTTTTACTAAACCAGCAAATTTTTTGACCGATTTGTGACTGCGATTAATAAACACGGCTATGTAAGATGACGTTAGTGAAAAAAATCATTGTAAAATTGTGAAATGTGTGCTCACAGTACCTAATAATGGGATGAAGAGTACGCAGAATTTTTTCATATTTTCGTATCATGTGATAGTTCACAAGTGACTTTTAACTGAGTGATTTGGAATTTTTTTCCCTCATTTTTTCCAGAATGATATAACCTTCAACCTGATCCCTTTGATATTGAGTTTCAAAATACCTTGTATATATAATTGAAAGCAATATCTCTTTAAAAACTCCCTATCAACAAGTAACATAAAAAAAATTTTAAAAATTAAGTCAATTCCTACTTAGGTCAACAAAGAAAATTTTATTTTAGTTAATTAAATTTAATTAATGCAGTGTGCTTCTCAAACTTTCAGTATTTGCGACCCAATATTCAAACATAATTTTCATCGCCCCCCTTCCTTACAATAACAGTGTATTGAATTCAGTAATACTGTACTTTAAACGCTAAAGCTGCAATGCAGCATTAACCTTTTAAATGCCACTGGCGTGTATAAATTTCTGGTTCACCTAAGGTGTTGATTGCTCCAGACGTATATATACGTCTTTTCGAAGTACGATCTTTTCTCTGTGCATTGCTATTCATTAAATTATTCTTAGCTGTGGCTTTAAATGCAAATAAAGACCTCTCGACAGTGTTTGCGAAGGATTTATTTTTTATTTCAGAAAGGTTTTTACTTTTTATTTATTCCTTTCCATCCCAATGCATGACATACGCGCGTGTCTTTGTGTGGAAAACGGTGGTGCATTGGGGAGCGAATCTGGTAACTTTTATCGGCAGTTAAAAGATTATCAGAAACTGGCCGTACAAAATTATCAAGATAAGTGTTAATTTTTGTACATAACTTTATATACGATTAGCCCATGGAGTTATTGGTAATTATTAAACTTGTTTTTACAGTATTGTTAAATTATAAAATACATGTGCAGTACTAATACATTTAAAAGTTTTTTTATATCAGTGCAAATGTGTGTATTTTATTTCTTATAATGTCAGAGTGTATTTTGTTTGTTTACTTTCAGTGAATTAATATTTTTTTAAGAATAATCTTTTGTTTGATTTCCCAATATGCTTGCCCTGGGGGGGGCCCCCCAGTTTGAGAAACGCTGAATTAATGAATTAATATTTAAAAAAAACTGTATTAACAACAAGTTTTAAAGAACCACACTACAAGTTTAAAAAATATATACTTGAACTTGAATGGATGAATAAAGAAAAATAAGTAGTTGAAACCAAGAAAAAATAAGTTAGAAAAACCCCTGGCACCACTTTGCAGTTAGTCCAACCCCGTCAAAAATTTCATAGAATAAACTTAAAATTAAAAAAAATTTTTTAAATTTAAAGAATTAATGTTTAAATCAAGTTCATCCCCTACAAGTTTAAAAGTGTATTTGAATTTGAGGGGTAAATAAAAAGTATTTTATTAACGATTGAAAATTTGAAAAATATATTATATATATATATATATAAATATATATATATATATATATATATATATATATATATATATATATATATGGGTATGAACTAATAGAGTAGAAACCGAAAAAAACCAGTCCTTGCTTTCAATTTGGTAGGGGAAGGGAATTCTTTTTCAGTTCGATCTCTACTTTAAATGAACCTAAAGAGAATTCTAAGCTCGATATTAAATAATAGCTCACGTAGAGTAAGAATGTTCAGAAAAATACATAGTAAACAGCAAGCTACTTAACTCTGATTGTAGTTCGATATTCTTTATATTATGAGGGGAAGTATTGCCAAAAATAGTTAACTTTATGTTTTATATTTCGTCCAATAGTATGAATAAGTAACTTGGAGGTATTGATTATGCAATCAGTAGCAAAATATTTTCAGAAAAGCCTTCTCCTGCATACCAGATATTTTTCAAGTTTTATTTCGTAATGCATTATAAAGTATTAATTCGATTAACTATTCATTTTCTTAAGAAAAAAAATTGTAAATAATGCATGGTCTTTGTTTCTCGTAATATTTTGCAGACAAGTGAATATGTTTTACGTTCTACAAGATTTATGTTTCGCTTAAATTCTTTTTTTAATACGTACAGTGAAAATCGCTTAACACGAAACTGAAGGGACTGAAATATCTTTTCGTGTTAAGGGATATTGCAAAAACACCATATATATAAAAAAATTAAGTTGATTAGAGTTTATTTTATTTACAGAGACATGTATATATGCATATATTTAATAAAAATCAATGGAACAAAAACATTCACAAGAACTTAACGAAATTTAATACAAAATTTTCAAATTTGGGATTTGAGTTTTTGGAAAATATGATATTTTTCTTTGCATTGTTTTTTTAGCATTAAATTGTTCGATATAGTCCATTTTGTTATTCATTTCACCACTGAAATGTGCGTCTAAATTACTGAGATACTTTTCATGGTGTTCCTCATTTCGAATGATGTGGGAACAGTAGTTGCATTATTCATTTCGTTTTCATCGTCGGAATCTGCATCAATGGTATTTTTTAAACTTTGAACAAAATATCTTTGAATGCCACATAATTGGGGTCTGTACACTCATTATCATTATCTACTGCAACGAATTCTTCGATGATACACTAGGGGAGTCCAATCCACCTGGTCTTTTCCGTATTTTGTTTATTCCCAGAAAAAAAATCTTTTCGTGTTAACCGTTTTTCGTTTCGTAAGAAAAAAAATACATGAAAATACATAGTAGTTTACCGAGACCGCTGTACTATTTCGTGCTGACCGATAGTTCGTCCAAGCGTTTTTTCTCGTTAAACGTATACCACTCTCTATATTTGTTATATTTAAAAAATTCTTACACTTCCAAATTAAATCGACCTTTTTAACAAGAAATGTAACCTGTCGACTTCTCTTGTATATTTAAACAAACAATAATAAGCAATTCTCCCTTTAATATTTTATCATCATTTTTACTTACCGCAAATGATATTTTCGAGGAAGAGAGCATATCCAGAAGTTCTACAACCAGGCTTTGAAGAAAATTATTTATTATTTGTGGGATTCCGGAAACAGTGGAAGAATAATGTACTGTCTACAGATTAATAACTTTCAAACTGTAAAGATAATGGAAAGTGTTTCCTGAAAAAAAGTTCCACAAAAAGAAAAACGTTTTCTAAAACATGGTGATGACTGTACAGCCGCACATTTATCATTTTAGATAATGCTTCAAACGCAATTTCTGATAGCCAACTGTTCGAATAATTCTGATAGATGCGCCATTTTTTTTTTGAATAATAAGTGTGGGAAGTTAAACAGTTAAAACAGTTCCGTACAGCTTTTCATCTACGTTTATTATTAATGGGATATTGTTTAAAAATAGAAGAAAATGAAGCGTAACTGTATATATTCCTACTTAGGTCAACAAAGAAACATTTTATTTTAGTTACTTTTATTGAATAGTTACAATTAATGTAAATATGTCTATACATATGACAGAATCACAATAATAAGTGACAAAATAGAAAGTGATTTTCCATTTACCTTTCTATATATAGTGTTGGACTATTTTGTTTGTTACAATTTATTCATTTATTGAATTTAACTATTTTAATAAAATAGTATATAGTAAAAAAGAAATCACATTCTCAGAAATTACGCCATCCCAAGTGGGATGCGAACCTACGACCTTTGGATTAGAAGTCCAACGCGCGCGCTATGCAATGCGCTACAGGGACACAACGAACGACTTTCTTTTCTATATGTGTTATTCGACTATTATTTTTGTGTCTTACTATTTATTCATTTTTTAATTTAATTAATGAATTAATATTTGAAAAACTGTATTAACATCAAGTGTCATCCACAACAAGTTTCACAAAATGTATTTGAACTTGAATGGAGGAATAGAAAGTATTTTATAAACGATTGGAAATTTGAATAAGATATATTTATATATATAGAGAGAGAGAGAGAGAGTGAACTAATAGTAGGAATTGAAAAATATGTTGTAGTCATGTCTATGTGTAGTTGCAACCAATAAAGAAATTAAATTAATATTATTGATTAAAATACATGTTATAGTAGCTTTTTCATTGGAGGGACACATTTTAGTGATCCCCGCATCGTGAGGACAGCCCAAAGCCTGATAGACACCAAATACGTATTCGGACCCATAACCTGACTTTGCAGGGAGGCCCTAATATTCTCCGTTACGCCACTGTTTGTGATCTATAAGTCTATGATGGTATATCTTCCTCTATTTTTCCACGAGGCCTTTCAGAAACTGTAAAAGAGGGAGATCTTAATATTAAATGACACCCCTTCAAGGACCCTCTAGAAAGGCGGTGGGGACACCAGGGGTTAGTGGACCACAGTTTAAGAACAGCTGACCCAAACAATAAAATTAAACAACTTTATGAAGCTGCTCTATTTTTGTTTCAACTTCAAACCACTCAAGTACTTTTTCATATTTTTTGGAGAAATTGGCCATTTTTCGGGCGTATTTTAGAGAGAAATCGAGCCACACAGTTTTAATAATATCGTGAATTATATTCATGAAAAATATATTAACATAGAGGAACCAGGTGTGGGATTTTTAAGAAACTATAAAATCAGAGTTTCTGTTTAATTCTAAGTTTCCCAAAAAGGG